ACATCTCCCCAGGGTTCCTGGGGCTGGGACATTCCCACCCTGATGCTCAGGCTCCTGTTCCAGGTAGGGCCCCATCTCACAGTGCTGGTGGCCGTGTCCCGCAGGGTCCCAGGGGGAGCCCAGCCTGCAGCTGGATTTTGGGGGAATGTTCAGGCGTGGGAACGGCTCCAGGGCCAGGCCGGGCTCCCCGGAGCGCTCCGTGAGAAAGGGGAGATCTGAGCCTGGAGAGCCACGGCTGGACCCTGACATCATGGACTGACATCATCCAGGGACTCCAAACATCCTCTCCAGCCCCAGCACGGGATGAAAACAAAAAGGATTCCAAGAGTTTGTTTGTTTTCTTGGGAGATGGGCTCCAGCCCGGAGTGGAATCCAGCGGTTGCTCCCCAAATTCCCGTCCCTGGGTTGAGTTTTGTGACCTGAGGGCAGAGCAGGGACACGGACTCAGCCGCTTTTCCAGGGTTTATTTATCTGCTCTGAGGAGGAAAGAATTGCTGGCTGTGGGTTTTGCAATAAGGGAGAAGGAGGAAAACATCCTGGGATGATCCTGATGGGGGAGGAAAGCGACACAGAGATGAGGGGTGAAGGAGACTCTGTCATTCCTCCATCATTCCTGGGGGGAATGAGCCCGGCCCTGGATGCAGGGGATCCCCAAAAGTGAAGGGAAAGGGGATTTGGGGGCTTGGTGGGCAGAGCCTGGATGCTGGTGTCCCCTAGTGTGTCCCTGTGGAGGTCATCAAACACAGGAAACACTTAAAACCCTAAAAAACAAAGTTAATGCAAGTCTGGAGTGCTGTGAGAGGAGAGGGACGGGTTTGTAGGGGCAGCACGGGGTGAGCCAGATCCCAGGCAGGGCCGCTGCAGGGGGACAGGGCCGTGTCCCTGTGCCTTGGCCACCCTGGGGGGCTGGGATCGTGTTGGGATCACCCTGGGGTGCTCCCCAAGTGCTCACTGGGGGGCTGACCCAGCTCCTGGGGTGCTCGTCCTGATCCCAAGGTGCTCACACACCGTCCTCTGGGTGGCCATCCCATTTTTGGGTGCCTGGC